CACTCCTGTAGCAGCATCCCTCTGTGTCCGCACGTATCTCCTTTTTTTGCCCTGCGGCTCGATCTCGTTGTCTGTCATTGGCGGTGCCTTCGCATCCTCGGCTGTCTCTGCTTGCTTCCTGTTTCTGCATTCACTTTGCTGCAGTGTATGCAGAACAGCTGCTCATCTGAGCCTCTTGCATTGAGTGGGTTCTGCTGCTCGCTGCTTCAGGCCTCCGCCATAGCCCTGACACGTGGGGCCCCATTGCTGCAGCAGCGGTTGCTGCACGCTGCGGCAGATGCAGCAGACACCTTCAGCGCGACGCAGCTCTCGCAAGTTTTATATGCCTTTGGTGAGTCCGCCATCTAAACTCTTTAGCTGCGAGGCGACGCACGAGTTTATTAGGTTGAAGGGAAGGAGCCGCTTAATGCAAGTGCACGTAGAAAGAGGAAGAAATAAGGGACTTCTTCGTGTACATGCTGCCGCTTTGCAGCGTATGCTGCAACTGTTAAAGTCAGCAGCAGCTACTACTGCTGCCGTTCCTGTTGCTGCAGCTGCTTGTGCTGCTATTGCTGCTGATGGTGTGTTCGCAGGACTGCTACGCGGCAGCACCCATCTGTTTGCAAGTCTTCAGTTTACGATGTTAGAGCGACTTGACCAATTCTCCGTCCCGGGTCCGTGGCTGTTTGGCTCATCTGTGTATTTGTTGGGTGCTGCTTGCATGTGTGTGCTGCTGTTGCTTCCGCTGCTGCTGCAGCAGGATTGGTCACTGCATGTTGTTTGTCTCCTTGAGCTATTTTGTCTCCTGCCAGTTTTTGTCTCTTCTATGTGTCTCCTCATGCATTTCGAGAAAGGCGATGCCCGCAAGACTGGGGGATCACCTCACGCTTGCGAGTCTCTCTCTTCTCTCCTTTGTGTGCTGCATGCAGAGCTCTGCGACGCCATGTGGGCATTCGCCGTTGCTCGCTTCCACGATGCAAACTTTTGGGCAGTCCGTCAAACTCACTCTTCTCCTGCTGCTGCTTCATGCATGTTGTTTATACTACTGCTGCCGTTTCTGCTGCCCCTGCACCTGTCTATGTACCGGGACGGAGAGCGTCCTCCTACTCCGGTTGTTGGCAGGGGGAGAACACTGTTAGATACCTGTTACTGTAGAGTAACTGGCTGCTGAGGCTGAGGCCTGCACTGGGTAATGAAGCTTTTCTTGCTGCATCTCTCGCGCACCGTTGAGCTGTACCTGTCTGCACCTTCCGGCCCAACTCCATTGTATGTCTGCGGTGTCTGCGCCAGCCCTGCCTCAACCTCATTCCCCTCGAGCGGCTGATGGGGGACGACCGCTGCGCATTGCTGTTTCCAGCTGTCGACGAGATAGTAGGAGGTGGGTGTACTTCTGTGCTGCCCCTAGTCTCCATTATAAGAGGAGACAAAGGAACGGATATCGTGTTTGCGTGCCATTGGGACACTGGGTCTTGCAAACCACGAACTTACTTGTCATCATGCATGCACATGTTACTATCCGTGATGCCTTTTTCTCTCTCCTTCTTCTGTGTCTTCTGTGTTCTGCCTGGTTGGATGCTCGTACGGGAGAATGATGCAATTGTGTCTGATTGCCTACCGGCTAAGCTTATGGGCAAAGGAACAAGGGCAAATTGCTTCGTGTCTCGTCCTCGATTTCTTTTTGTTTCATCCCTTGTGTCTCCGATCTCCGCTCTGGGGTGTACGCATGTCTCGCAGCCGTCCCAATGCTGCAGAGCCCGCGGCTTCGGCACATGAAGCACTACACCAGAGGTATGCTTGTGATCCCTTGGTAGGCAACAACGGGGACCCATCAAACGGGCTTAATTGACTAATGTACATGCGCAGCATTGAGGTGCTGCTTGTGCTTGAGGAAAATCGGTATCTTTTCTCTTTCTCTGCTGCCCATTTCCTTTTCTCGTCTTGAATGTCCCCAGATCCTAGGGGTAGGGGGTCATGGTGTAAAAGTTTTTAGGCTTTGCCCTCTCCCAGTGCTGGCGTAGTTGAGGGAAAGGAGGACAGGCAGGCCAGCAGTTCCGCTGCAGCCAAAATTCCGAACATAAAATTCCAACCGTTCGTTTCTGCTTTGCTCCTTCAGATGCCTTCTGGGCACTTCAGTTGGAGGAGCATCCAGCTAACTTTGCGGAGAACGTCGCAGAGGGTAAGCAAAGAATCGTGTTCAGACATCAATGGTGGGGTCTGGAGTATAGGGTTTGCTCTTCTCATTGGGGAGTCTCGCGCATCTTCCCATGGGCAGTCAACGCATGCAGCATAGTTTTAATCTTTACTGTGCGTCTTACCTGCCTAAACAGCTTTTGGGCGTCACCGAAGTACCGGAGTGGCTTTTGCTGTTCGAAGCTAACACGGAAGAAAGCAATCCGACCTCTGGTGTATGTCCTGCCTATCTGCAGTTGTGCGGTCGCTAGGATATACTCCCTGCCTCAGGGCGGATGCTTCGGGGCATCTTATAGACGTTTTGGTAGAGCTAGAAGTGCCACGAAAAGCTGTCTGTGGACGCCGAAGGGGTCCTGAGGCCCAACGAGGGGTTTCCCATGGAGCGCAGGTGGCGCTGCTATGCCACGCAGACGCGCAGCTCCAAGGGGGGTCCAACAAACCTGGAGAGGTTCCATCTCCCTTAGGCCATTCTATGCTCAAGCATCGCCACCTGGGGCGCCAAGGTATGCAGTGGATGTTGCTTGGCCTGTACTTTGGTGCAGAGCATTATGCGCCCTAGACAGAGCATGCTTCGGTGCTCCCCAGCTGGTAGAGCCTGCAGTCCAAGCGTATATCCTTCCCTGGTTGTTGGGTATCCTTGGGCTTCCTACTTCATATGCAGACGCACCAAACAGACAGAGGGGGACTGTGGGAGGGGCAACTGCCGCAGTGAGGGAATCGCACTGTTGCCCCTGCTGCTAACAGTGGATGCTCACTCTGAGCTCCGGCGTGCTATTGGTGTTCTGTGATGCGTGCAGGGTTTCATGTTGTGAATTTAATGTGGAGTGTGTGGCAGGTAAGCCCAGTTGCATTCCCACCATTATTTGATTGCGTTCAGCTGAGCACCGACGCTTTGTGTATCACCTTTTTTGTTGCAATGTAACAACCCTCTTGCCCCATTGCTTCTGTCCTCTGCCCACAGAAACTCACGATGCAGAAGCAAGTGGCGTTGTTACAGCGCGAGATAGACAGAGCTAAGGCGAACAAAGGAGCTTCAAAAGCAACTTCAGATGCAGCATCGGCGGGATAGAGCTTTCCGACAATTCCACATCTGTCTTAGGGCTCGGCAGTAGCCTTAGGACGCTGGCCATATCTTTTTGTTTGTTCCCTTCTTTTGTCTTCAAACTGGATCCAGCATTCTGTCTAAGTGTATACAATTAAGCAAGCTATTAGTGTCACGCGAACCTCAAGTAATTACGGCGGACGTGAAAACAGTCCAAAGACGTTGAAACAATTAACGAAAAGTGTGCTGTGGCGGCCTTGTCTCAACCTCAGCTCTCAGGGCAGCATCACAGTAAGCCGTAACTTTGGTAGTGTTAAGTGTCAAGGAGGGCTTGGATGACGACATCCACTTCACCTCCGCAGTAGCCGTTTGCAGCAGTGAATGCTTAACCCAAGCCGGTCCTTGTTGATGTTGATTCGGTGCAGAAATACCTGTATTTACGGAACCAACGTAAAGCAGTGTGAAGTGGCTTTATGGCAGGGGCCTACGCACTCCCACACAAATGCACAATAGCTTCTGATGCGGTGCCGCAAGGGGATATACACTCGGGGAAGGTCGTTGCATTGGGCTTCACCGCAAGGCACACGCATTTCCTCTGCAAGTACCAAGAGGACGGCACTTGCAATGGGATGCAAGCCTAGTAAATAATGATTATGGGGAGCTTTCGGGGATAAGCTAGAGAGCCGGATTGGGTTTGACGCTAGCTGCAATCGAGGAGGCTTAAGAGGGGGCAGGTTTGCAGAGTTGTACAAATAATCCTTTTAGATCTCTTATTGCAACACAAAGGAGTGTTAAGATGGCATTCGCGCATGAAGTGGCAATAAGACTAGCACAAATTGTCTGTACAAGAGGCACCTCAAGAAGATTTATGAGCCTGTGAGCAGGCTGGAGCAGTTGTCGCATTGGAGGTCGCGTGTCAGCTAGTAAACCAGTTGCCATGCCGGTTTGGCTCATGCAAAGCTTGGCTCGTTGCTCTACGCTGTGGCTAGCTTTGTTAAATTAACTGGGTCCAACTGGCCTAGATGAACCGAACTCCGGGCATGGCCTAGTGGTTATGACGTCTGCTTTACACGCAGAAGATCCCGGGTTCGATGCCCCGTGCCCGTATTCTACTTCCCCCCTTCCCTTCTCTCGTTGTTTCATGTTGCGATATGCTTGACTCGATAGTTTACGCAACGCTCTGCTCTGCTGCTCTGCATTTGTGTACTGGAGAACCGTATATGTTGGCCTGAGTAACGAGTCGCTGGAGTTAGAGACTAGCCAGAAGAATCACAACCGGAGCGGGTTTCCTCTGGATTGCTTGTGCGAAGCAATTCTTCAGGAGCGTCTACATTTCCCTCTGGAATCAGCGGTGGCGAGCCAATCGCTGCCATAAGGAGCAATTTTGGGCTCCCGGTAGATGCTCGTTGATAGATGCGTGTTCAGGCATGAAGAGACGCTCATCTGGTTGATGCCACCGGCTCCCCTGCCCCAACTGTTTTCCAGCTGTGATTTCAACTTATCTTGTCATCATATAGTGTTGGCTAAGCAGTGAAAATAACAACTTTTTCGCTGCTTTTATGGTTGCTACGAGATTCGCTCTTTGGTGTTTGGTTTAACCTCTGCCTCACGTGAGCACTGATGCTACGAGCCGGTGGAAATTTGTTGCTTATGTTCTCATTGAAGAGCTTATTAAAAGTAGCTACCAACACAGACGAACAGTCCTTAGAGCTATGCTCGTGCCACTGGTCTCTGAGCGTGAGCGCAGCAGGTAGATTTTGGTGGAAGGAACGATCCATGGCAGTGCTCATGCATTGAGCCTCCCCCCGGTCCCAGGCTCTCCTACTTGGGAAGTTAGTGCATTTAGGAATCTGTATTCGAGTAGCAGGAAAAGGCCCCCAAGCACGTCTGCGAAGGGGCAGGCGGGCCTGCCCTCACACACGAAAGCCGCGTTGCAGTGCTTGGAGCCCCCTGCCCAGAAGCCCTGCAACATTCAATGAAGCGCAATGAGGGGAACAAAGGGAACAAGGGCGGTCGACGACGGAAACTCCAATATTGGGGAACTTGGGAGCGGGCAGAAGCTTAGTTCGATCACCAATCGAGCCTGTGGAAGTCTACTGCGTGAAAATAACACAATATGTTACTTCTAGACCAGATGGCGTGAGCACGAAATAAGGTTTGTCAGATACGCGTGCTCAACAGCCTCTCAGTGTTTCGATGGTGAGTCCATAGCCGAGGCACAAACCGGGAAGGGGGGGGAGTTGGAGTGGGGTGGAATGCCTTACAGTTCAGTCACGCTAAATTAGTGCCTTGCCATCGTTGATCGCAATGCATTAAACCGAAGGGAACAAATATTTGTACTGGGAGTAGTGAGTGAGGGAACGCGCTACAGTCGTTCGCACAAGACATCCTCAGAAATCCGCTGGGGGTTTTCGAGGACGCTAGATTACTCAGCACAAAATTTTGGGTCCCTGTGGCCTATGGGGGGCATTACAAAACTTCTTAGAACTTCTCCTATATGTCATGTGAGCAAAGAGATAGACGAGCTTTCCCACCTATCCCCGCCGTCTCGCTTCCAGCGCTTTCGCCTGTACCTTGCTGTCTTGCTTGCTGGTGAGCGCCACTGCACCTGTCCCCCTAGAATTTGATCTTACTGAGCAGTAGAGATGAGGTTCCAGCCTTTATCGTGCTCGTCAGTGAATATTTAATTGGTGCCATCTACGTTGTATCTTAGGTGTGAATGCGGCATGCCACGCCAAGCGCAACATGCAGCCTCCCGCGTGCAGCGTCAATGCTCACGTGATGTGGGGGATTCGGAAAGCCGAGAGACGGGACTAAGCAGCAAACGCTGCACCTAGATAGTCATGAGTAGAGGCATTAGCGCAAACTGGCTTGTAGCTCGTGAGCAAATATCGTTTAGGGGAGCTAACCCACGTCAAAAGCGAAGCTTGGAGCTGAGCTCGCAGTTAGCGTTCAGAATCCCCCGAAGCCGCTCTCTCTGTGAGACCATCACGACGGAGTGCATGATTTTCGCTCCCGTTTCCCGCAGCGTTTGTGCGCGGGGTAGGGGCCCCTTCCCTCATTTCTCCTTGGGACACTGTTTCCACTCCTCTTACCGTAGAGGGTGCAAATGCCGTTGCGAGCGCTGACAGGTGCACTATGTCATCGCTTCCTGGCACATACACTTCGGTCTTGGAGGGTACATCTGCGCCCTCCACTGAGTCACCCACGGCATGCCTAGGATTATGCCGTGGTGAACTGGACCAACGTAAAAGCCCCGTATCATGGTAATACGGCCTGCTTCCGAATTAAGCGTACAGCTTCCGCTCACAGTGTTACCCTACCTGTGTCGAGTAGCGCTAGCAACACTGGGCGGAAGTTGGATAAGCACAGAGTTAACTCGAGGCGGATCTGAGAGTGTTGGTGTCGGGTATATACGCCCTGGAGTTTCCCTGGTAGCCTTACTTGTTCGCCTGGCGACCCTCCTCGAAGGCCCGCAGGTCCCAAGATTCCTCCTTTTTCATGCGTCTGCAATCTCGATTCACGCCACGTTAATTACGGCAACAATAGCAGATGCACCGCTCGATACGTCCTCCGCCTTCCCTGAGAGCCGGTTGTTGTTGGTTTCCATTTGTACTCCCCATACTAGATAGGGCTAGCAGTCAGAGCCCCACCTCCCATGGGCTCAACATCCGGATCATTTCCAAACCCGCCTTTCCTTGCCATTTAGGGCGGTCGATGTGGCGTCTTTCGTCGTCCTACTGGGCAGATGTTCCATCATCTCGACGATGTCAACTCTTTCACCTCTTAATTTTCTTTCCGGTGCCCAGCTGATTACCCAGCACGCCCTTCCAGCCGCTCGCAACCTGAGAGACTGCTGGCAAACCCGGCGACGTGACTGAACGAACAGGCACTGCAGGCCGTGGCACGGCACGACATCTAAGTGCTTGCTGTTCAGCCAGACTTTGTCTCCCACCGAGGGGACGGAACACCCACAATATCGAGATTCGCGGCGGTGAAGGGATTTCTCACCTAGCATGGACTCAAAAAGTGAGAGCTCAGTGGATGAGTGACTGGTGGTGTTATGGGCCAGTTCCAGCCCAGGAAGTAAGCGCTGCCAGTCCCTCATCTTTTTCCTACCACCCACAGAGCGAAGGACAAACTGAAAGTGGCGACCGCAAACTGGAACATATGTTACGAACCTACATCCAGTATTACGAGAGAGACGATTGATGTTGAAGCGTGCGCACAGTTGTTGCCATAGCTCGTATTGGGATCGCGGATCTCTACCCAAAATGAGAGCATCACGGAAGCCGTGATAACGAATAAGGCGGTCTTACCGTAGCACTACAGTATCCGCTGCAGTGAAAGACTTCTTAGCTTGGGTGGAATGAGCCATCTTACTAAGTGAATCGACCAACACTTGTATTGAGTCATCGCCCGCTGTAGTGAGAGGGAGATCAGTAATGAAGTCAAGGCTGACGTGGCTCCACCGGCAAGAAAGGGTAATGAGCACTTGAGGGAGGCAAGCGGGCTCCTGATTCATGGATTTCGGTGCACAGCAACGGACACACGATTTCACATACGCAGTAGTGTACGTGAGCATGCCTACCAATAGTAATACTTGCTGAGAGACAGAAAGGCCTTCTTCTGGCCTCGCGATGCTCTGCTGTCACGTGATCATGGTGTGTGTACAGAGCGTGAGCGAGGAATTCAAGGAGCTGTGGAACACATAATCGCCACATGCCGTGTATCCATATAGGCAACTAAGCGGTTGCGGAGCCGAAGCCAGCTCGGCGGCCACGGAACTCTAACTAGATGAATTCATCTGGTGGGGGACTGCGGCCATTGGGGATTGTTGTGCCGCCATCATCCTAAATAAGTCTGCCGTTAATACTACCCGTACGTTGCACCTGTATCCGCTCGAGGTGGCAATACAATACTGTGACCACACAATCTGTCTAAGCAGGCGCACAACCGGCAGAGCGCAAGGCTGAGGAGTGTAGGATGGTGGAGGTCGAGTTGTCGTCGGTCGCGGGCATGGTCTAGTGGCTATGACGTCTGCTTCACACGCAGACGATCCCGGGTTCGATCCCCGGTTCCCGTACTCTCTTCTATCGACCTGCGGCGAAACGTATAGATAGTGCACAGACTCCATTAAGACTCCAACTGCCTGAGGCTTTATATGTGCCTCATACAAATAATGGGTTAGGTAAATATTTGGACAGACTCTCTCGCGATCGAGTTACCTAGGTGTGTGGCTACCTCTGTAGCTAGTGGCCACATTTCAATAACCTGCGTTACAGATATGAAACTTCCGTACAAGCCTAGGTTCACGTCTCCACTGAAAGGAGCAGTGGAAGGAGTATAGTGAAACGCAGATGTGTGTGTCAGTTTATACGGAACAGTAAAGCGGTGGCTGCAGATCAAGACGTTTCCTTCTAGGCACTAGCTGTTATGTGCCCAAATAGTCGAGGAACCCAAATCGTAACGCTAGCAATACCGCCAGCTGCAGGTGAGTTTGTTTGTGATATGATGTCTGTGACATCCTCCGCTAGGCGACGCCTCCTTGGCAGCAAAAGCGTGTGTGTGCACACCAGCAGGCACAGAAAAGGCAGAGCGCAATTCACCTTAGGAGTGTACGATGGGGGGAGCGAGGCTATCGGCTGCCGCGGGCATGGTCTAGTGGCTATGACGTCTGCCTAACACGCAGAAGATCCCGGGTTCGATCCCCGGTGCCCGTATCGTCTTCTCCGTTTGACTTCTCTTTG